TGGGCGGTTTACAAGTTAATTATGCAGGCTACACATTGCCCCCCCCCAGCAAGCTAGGTACTCATTTTACCGACCTCGGAAGGATGGAAGGCTGAGTCAACCTTGAGCCGCAACCTGGGATTGAACCCCAGGTCCGTGAGCACAGTTTTGGCTGCAGTACAGCGGTTTAACCACTGTGCCACGAGGCTCCTGCCTGTGACATCCCTGCCTGTTTGTAGACTTTGCCTGTGATACCGAAGCACTGACACTTAGTTTGAAGATTGTTTATCACTTAACTCCACCAGTTCCACATGGTATTGTTACAAGCGCATATAGTGCCATGGCTGCAACATTCAGTTTTGATAAAGGCATGCATCCTTGATCAGATAGAAAGCTCACTGCATGATCCTGAGCCAGCCTAAGATATTTTGTTGTCTGAGGTGATGGACAAGATACCCTCTTTCTCCTTTACATGAACAAAAGATTGTAAGACCAGTAATTGTGTTTCATTTTGATTGCCACTATATCTGAAGGCAAGAAGCTACAGTACTTTGGTGTATGTAAGCCATACATCACATAGACCTCTCCTGCCATAATCTACTCCTACTTGCTGCATCTCAGTATCCATCATGTAAGGCAACTGTCTCATTCTGCCTAATGGTAGGGTTGACATGGTGGGACAGTCATTATGTCTCAGTCAAACTTACCTCAAAGATTTGTGAGTATTAAAGCAACAAGTCAGGTGTCCATACTTCCTCAGAGAATTTATTGTAGGTGCTTGAATTGCTTTATGTCCCAAGTAATAAAGACCTGGAGAAAATGTTTTTTTAAAAAAGCCATGACAATTGCTTTGCATTTGGGTGAGAAGAAGGTGAAATGATGAAGAAGGAGTCAGATTCTGGATTTTCCCCACTTGGTGCCTCTTTGGGAAAGGTAATGAGCTCAAGAAAGGATGTTGTAGACCATCCTGACTGCTGACAGACATCGATATTCAGGCTGGCCTTTGCTATGTAAAATGCGGCATCCTTTTTCTTGCAGGCAACATGAGCATCAATAATAATCCATGTTTATAAACCAGAGTGTTTTGAAAGATTTGATATCTATAGAAAAATATAAACATGGTTCTAATGTGTTTGAGAGGCACTGAAAGATTAGCTAACCATGTGTTATGTTTTCTTTAAAAAGAATGACTGGAACAATGGAAGTTAAATGACTCCCTACATTCAATTGTGATTTGCGAGTTTATTGGGACCATGGGAGGAATACAATTGGATAATGTGGCAGGGCTCTTGATGATAGATATTTTCACTTCATGACTATTGAACATTTAGCAAAAGAAACCAACTTAGCCATTCTTTCCCTACTTTACAGAATGTGGGAGCAAAAGTCCCTTTACCTCAACAAGGCATTGTGTGTAGCTCATCTTTAGATTTATGGCATACTTTCCTGTTTTACTGAAGACTCTGGGGGCAAAGAAAGCAAAGGAGATGGAGCTATTTGGTGTAACATGTACAATAGACAGTTATGCTGTGAGTGCAAAATCTACTCAAAAGATTCAAAATTCCCCCAGCAGTTTGATCAAATGATTTTGTTAGTGTTGGTGAAGTCACTCTGCCTCCTTTGATGGGTCTGTAGTGAGACAAAAAAAGAAAAACCCAAGGCTCTGGAGGCTTGTCGTTTAGAAACTTTTGCTTCTCCTGTTCCGACATCATTTATAATCAAGTGTAATGGGACAGCAATGGCTTGACAGACTGATAATATACTTTACTTGCATAGTTTCAGCACTAGTACTGGATGGAGACAAATTTCTATTTAAGCCATTCCATGTTTGTGTACGGTGGGGAGGATGTGCCTTCTCCCAGCAAATCTGCCGCACAAAATCTGAGAAGATTATAAATGATTCTTTTCTTTCACTGGCTTGCTGCCTTCCAATAAGGAAAGTATAACTTTACTCCATCACGCTTGTACAGCCATGCTGTTACTCTGATTTTTGACACAGGAGGCAAGATGAAATAAATCTCTTTCACTGGGAATTCAGAAACCTGAGGCAAATGAAGCACATTCTGTTGTTGCAATGGTATGTTCCGTTGACTTACCCTTTTTAGTTATGACACCAGTGGGTATTTTTGAGGAGAACAGAAAGTGTGTCTATGTGTGAAAGTAGCTTTAAGGAAATAATGGTAACTGCAGACCTAGAGGAAAAAAGATACAAAATCTCTTGAAGAAGATAGACCTGTTGACATTAGAATTTGGACCTATTGATTGCTTTGCATGCTGGGTCAGCAGCTTCTTTTAAAACCCAAACTCAAGGGTTCACATAGGTGTGATTTAATGGTGGCCTCGGTAGTCCTGGGCTTTGAAAGCACTTACTTTAATGTCTCAATGAGAATTTTTCATTTGGAATCCCCTAGCCAACTGAGTAAAGCTCTTGAAAGTTATTCAGCTTATCAGAATTTTTGTTTTTCCACATTTTTTATGACAGAGAATGCAAAGGTCTTGATCCTACATTGGATACATTCAATTAACAAGAAACATTCCTGCTTAACATGCTGCATAAGGGACCATCCATGTTCATGTATCTTTTAAGGGCTACAACCATAACAGACACATTATCAGGCAGTACAGCTGTAGTGTGGTGTCCTTTGTTGTGGTCAGCTCCAGCTTCACCACAATATTGGAGGTGGATGCCTGCCAATGGATCTGTCTGGTGCCACTAAGCTCCAGCTATGTCTGTTCACTAGGAGTGGCAGATGGGATCTATGCAGCTGAAGCTATCAGGCAACTGAAGTTACCATTCCACATTACAAGTACCAATAGGCAACTGAAACCACCCACAAAGATGGGAAGGACATTGCATAATGCTAATGTTCAAATTGATGTTTAATTCCTTGTTAGAATTTGGTAGTTTCTTGGTGAAGTCCTTGTAGCAGAGACTTCCACAATTCAGCTTTCTTCACATTAAGTATCAACATTGACCCCATCATGACACCATGAAGGATTTTATGGGATTGATGGTCTTCAAACCCTACTAATATAGTTTCTGCTGCTATGGGCTTTTTCAAGAGGGAAATAATTTGGTTTACTATTAACCAGATCAAAATGCTCATGGTAAATAATCAGTATGTAGGCAATCCAGAATAATAGCAACATGACAATGAGCTGAGCCATTCAACGGTAATAATTTTGTTTTTTAATTGTCACATTTCTTCTAGAATCTGCTGTCTGTCTTTGAGGTAGAGTAGAATAGGCATACTCTGCTACATTCTCACATCCCTGATAACAAGCCATTCTAACTCATTACCCATTACTCATTACACAACCTTAGCTTAAAACACACATACACAAACTAAGCGTGTGCAGAACATAGGTTAAGAAATAATAGATTAAATGTGGCCCACACCCAAAACCATATTTTTTAATCAAAACTACAAACAGTTAATGCAACAATTACACCAATGTCATCCTTCCTTTTAACACAATGAGCTTGTTTCCCAGGAGACATTGAACAAATGGAGAATTTGGCTAGCAAATGTAAACCGGCAAAATCTATGGATTGCAGTACAGACCATATTTGTCAAAACCTCCAGTTTCTGTCACTAAATAGTTAAAAAGATGCTCTCTCTCTCTTTTGCATTTCTGCCTCATAATGAGCATAAATGATCCATAAACTGAACTCTCCTGTATTATTCAGTTTCAAATTTATCAGTTCAGTTGGATTTCTGAGTATTTACCCCAGAACCTGCAATTTCCTGGTGATTTCTGGCTATAAGGCTAGAATGAGATTGACAAAAGTATATGACTGTGATTTTTTTCCTCTTTCCTCAGTCTCAAACTTTTAGATCAACCATGATCACCTTTTGGATTGAACAAGGGGAAGAATGATGCATTTTCAGCCATGGAACCAGAACAGGGACAACTATGAGTTTGATCAATTTCCAGTACAGTTTTCTTAACTTTTTATATTTTTTTTCTGGAATTGGTTATATTTGCATTCATTTTTATTAGATTTATATATTACCAAATTAGGCTTCATGAGAATTTCCCCCTTCCTAATATAATAGATTATCTTCAGTTGAATGAAATCACACTGTGTTATTAAGTTTAATGGCTGGGACTACAGTATATGAAAATATTAATATTTTCATGTAATGTATATTTTCACGGGAGTTTTTAATCTTGTTGGTTTTATTATGACTTTGATGAACTGTCCCAAGTTATAAGGAAGGCAGTGTGGATGAGAAACAAAAAGAAATGAAACATAAAACAAGGACATTTTCAAACAACATTTAATTTTGTACAACTGTGGCTGCCTTTCACATCCTTATCCAAATATCTTACCTTCCCCCACTCCTTCCAGATCTTTAGTTTCTGTTAACATGGCACAATGGCTCTATCGCCTTTCTTTTCATTTACCAATTAGGTCTTAAAGGGAAGCCATGTTTAAAAATAAAATAAACCAAGTAAAACATTCACTTGCACTATTCACAGTTTTTTTAACTTTATTAGAATAATAGAATTACAGTTTGACATAAAATAACGAGCTTTTGCTAAACTCTGTAAAGCATTACATGCGTCTGCCATAAACAACCTCTATTATAGATTTAGGTCTTATTGCCACATCACTGCACTGACGTGCAATAAACATTCAACGTCATTTTTAAAAATTATCCCGGGAGTAAACAGAAACTGTCCTCTATAAGAGTGTATCATTATTTTCAAGGAAGACTTACTATTATTACATGGTTTAGCAAAGCACTGTAAAAAAAGCTACAGAGAGAATACCTTGTCTTTGATAAACTGTGCAATCAGATTTATACAGTATACTATTCACATAGACTAACAAACTAAGAGATGATATAATGCAGTCATTGCATAGCAAAAAAGCAGACTATTTAAGTAATATTCTCATCTAATGTGCAAAATGCAGACCAAAAGGTAGCAGAATGGATAACTAGGAAGGTAAAATGCCCTTAATGAACACACTAGATAAAACGCCAAAAATAACAAGATAAACAAATACCGAAGTTAAAGAGTTGTATTTTATTTTAATTTTTTTTCTATACATTTATCTACACATAATACCAGAAGATAACACATCCTCTTTAGTAAGCTCCAGTCAGATTAGCTCATCAAGTTTAGACAGGACTAAATGGTAGACAATGAAGCATTAGTTTTAAAAAAAAGTTTTCTTTTCTAAAGAAAAAGTTAACTATTTTAATTTGTAGATACTAAGTGAGCAGCAATCTCTTGATTTACTGAGAAAGAGTATATAAAACATTGCCTGTAACATGTATAGATATCAAACTGACTATTAGCTAATTCGTTTGAAGGTCCATGTAGCATCATTGTTGTTGTTTAAATGCATTCACTACCATGTGTTATGGATTCTGAACCACTGTGCTAATACTTCCAAACATCCATCAGTGTCCGAACCGGTTTTGAAAATATCCATCTCCTAAATCTGATTAATATTATTTTCCTTAAATAAGTTCTCCGCAGAAATAAAATTGGCTAGATTTTTTTTTTTTTGGAAGGGAGTACTTATAACTTGCAAAATGGACATCTTGTTTTTTTTAAAAGCCCTTACATATTTTTCCTACAAATATATTGCTACAGTAAAAATGAAGTGTAATAACTTACTCAATAAAATGTATTTTCCTGTACATTCTTTTGTGTATGTTTTTTTTCTGTATTTAATGCTACATATATAACATCACTTATCGTTAACAGTTATGTATCAGCAAATATAGCAATAATATACAGATGACATTTGTCTTAAATATTTTTACCATTTTCCTACCAAATATAATTCCATATTTTAGTATTCACGCATTACCTGAGCATACCAGTCATTAGCCAAATAGTATACACTGGATGACAGTTTCAAACTGCAAGCTACTGTACAGATAGCCACTTTACAAATGAAAAATATTCCAAGCTCTCCGCTTTGTCTTTTCCCCCCATTTTCAAATGCCACTGACTTTTTTTTACTGCAGACTCTAAATATGTTCCTTCTTAGTATAACATATTAAGAGCTTTGAGAGGTGAACCCTACACAATATATTAAGAACATAAAAAAGTAAAAAAATGTACAATCTCATGCTGTATATTTACATAGATTCATTTAAATAATAGGTATTGTATTGTCTTTCTGTTAGCCATGTTTTTTTCAGTCTAAAGCTTTTAAATATACTGATTTATAAAATAATACATTCAACATATCTAGAGCTTCAAACAGTATTCTTGAGTGTTTTTCTTCCTAAATGAACCAAAAAAAAACCCAAACAAAAATAACCCCTGTAAATTATCCAAGTGTTGTTTTATCTAAGAGGTTGGAAGGATGGGATTAGAACTCTGTACTTAATGTGCAATAGGTTGATCTTATCAAGTCAAGTGACATTCTGATGCTCAAAATAAGACTGCAGTGAGAGCGTATTAAAGCATTCATTATCATTTAACAAATGTGCTATTCTGTGATCACCGGTACCCTTAGCAAGTAGGCTTTCTTTTATGTAAATAACATTATATACTTTCAAACTGGTGGCTGGGACTTTAGTCAAAAAAAAGAAATCTAGGAAAAATATCGTATCTTCTGGAATCCACCACTTTGGAAAGATGTATATTCTATAAAAGAATTCAAAATAAGCAGCACTCCAAAAATGGAAAATACAATAGTTGTATGTGCAACATGAACATATATAAAGACAGCTTTACCTTCTATCATTTTGCATAAAAATATTTCTGTTCTGACATGTACAGCATCTTTTTATGGGGACATTCAGTAATTAGGCTGCCTGCAAATGGTTTGGATTGTGTACTTTTCCTTCTCTTCAGAGACACGGTTCAGAATCATGTGTCTACATCACGTTGTTACAGCCCTAGAGTACAGAGTTAATATCTTTTTCTATTATATATATGTATATATATAATATACTTTAACTTTATAAAATAAAGAGATCTCAATTTCTTTAAGACAGAGGCAATGAAGCAGATGGGAACCGCCACGTGTGTTTTAGAACCAAAAAGCAATTCCCAGTGCAAAAGAGACTGGACAAACTCTACAGTGGAATGGGGTTAGTGGGGAGGGGTTTGATCTTTCAGCTGGGGCTCTCTATTTAAATATGTTGCCCAGTAAACTAGATTAAAAATCCCAAAAAGCAGTGGAAAGGCTATTCTCGATAGTCGGTCGATTTTGCTGACGCTGTTAAATGTTTTCTTGGGTTCTGGAGGTTTCGTTTCCGGTTTCCCTTCTTTGGGCTCTATCGTTGCGCTTTTCGCAATGGTCGCAAGTCCAGGGTCCCTTGCGATATTAGGGGTGAAGCTGGTTGCTGTCGCTGGTGCTGTGAAGGAGTTGTTTTTCATAATGAGAGGATCCTTTATTTTCTTTGGCTAAGAATGACAATAATAATAGTTTAATAAAACATAGATGTTAATCCAGCACATCTTTTCCATTGATTATAGTAGAACATCATACGTTTACCAAGGCAAACTTGGTAGACAACAGATAACGTTTCTTTCATTTCTGGGGGGGAGAGGAGGAATGAGAGAGCTCCATTGGTTTTAGAGGTAAAAATGAATGGAAATTCAATGGAATGCCTTCTAAATGGGGAAAAAAAACCCATCAATTTATTTCTCATGAATTTTGCTTTTCTTGTGTTTTAATCATAAAGTGCTGCTGGAATAGTATGCTATCTGAAAACATCACAGTAAGGTTAGAAGGAGGAGGGGGGCAGAGAAAAACATGGAAGTCGATGGATGTCCAGTCTGTACCCAGTCTATTCCCCAAACTGCCTAAGTAATACTCAAACTCTGATAGCAATATTAGTACTTATTATCATCATCATCATCATTATTCTTGCATGAAATATTTGCAAAGGTTTCTTTCCACACTGACTCCAGAGATCGCCCTGTCACTGTAGCAATAGAATCAAGAAGGTGTCCAGTTCTTTGAGCAGGCAAGCTGAGACCCTTGATTTGTTTGCCATGTGGTACCACAGGCTCTACCTAAACACAACTTTGTGCACCTTACCGCGAAGTTGCTTCCTGTTCTTCCATCCAGCCACCACAACTGAGTCAGAATCCTCCCAGCCAGCTAGCAGTCGCTATTAAACTGTCACTTTTACTGCCACACTTAACTGCCCTTGCATGAAAGCCACCACCATCAAGAACAGGGTTCATCAGAAGGCACTACCTACTGTATGTCTTGTTGCTTGCTCTGAGGAAGGAGTCCTACTGAGGCAGGGTGGGTGAGGTGAGCCCACAGAGCACCTCTGTCACCTACGTTTTGCCCAAAGCTCCAATACTATTTAAAGAGAGGAAAGCCAATTTTGAACAATATATAGTGCCATCATGGCATTTTTAGGAGTAACCTCAACCATAAAGGCTTCTTTTGGAGGTCTGACCTCTTCCTAAAATACAGCCCTTATGGGTATGATAGCCTCAGAAAGCCCGTTCTTCTACCAGTGCACCAGCAAATCCATTTTTTAAAAAGTCAAGCGGTCAAATCCATTTTTTTAAAAAAAAAGCAAGAGGAGGGAGCCAGTTCTCCTACCTCAAGAGGAATAGCCTCTTTTACTGTCCCTGCAGGGAAGGCAGACAAGATGTCCTCACTATGCTTGGGATGGCGTTGTCTCTGTCTGCAGATTCTCTTTGGTTTTTAATTGTGTGCAGAAGCAAATCAGGGTGCGGTCAGATGGCTGGAAGGACATGTGACCGATTGGACCAGAAAGGATTACTTTGTAGGGAGTAATCTTCCTTAAAGCAATCCTTCTGTCTGCTAGAGAATCACTCCAGTCTGGCTGGAGGTTGAGAGTTCAGTTCCCCACTGTGCCTCCTCAACAGGGGCTGGACTCAATGATACATAGGGTTCCTTCCACTCTGCATTTCTAAGATGATGATGGTAATCATCATCATTATCATCATTTGAAAACCATTCAGATCAAAAGTGCTCTGGTTTGCTGATGATGACCTGATCTGCACTAGTTTTCAAGCTCATTTCTATTCTGACTTGTCTTCATTGCCGCCTAACATTTTCCATAACATGCTCTGCAGGAGCAGCTGACAAATCCTGTCCACCCAGCATTTGGATAAGCAGAAAAGACTCCTTCTCAGGGAAGACCCATTTGATGAAATCAATAGGATGTAGCAGTGCTGCTGCTGAACTCTGTTCTGACCAGATTTGGGACAAGATTCTTAGATTTCTCTTGACTATACTGATTGATGGGCAAACACCTGAGCACACTACTGCAGAAAGAGCAGGCACTTGCCCAGCACAGTTTGAGAAGTGGGATGTAGTGTGGTCAGTTATTGCGATGCTATTTTGAGCTGGGGAAACACCACAACGTCCTTGAATGACTTCAAATGATAATCAAGATATTGGTGAGGGTGATAATGTTTGCAGACTAGAACCTATGCACTCTTCTGATTTGAACGAAACCTTTTCATAGCCAAACACAAACATTGTGGAAGTCAGTTCACAAAAATGTTTGGTTGTCTGGCACATGCCCTGCCCCTAATTTTCACACCCAGATGGATATACATTGCTTGAAATCTTGTGATTCAGTGACACAGATGATAACTTGCTCCTAAATGTCCAAATTTTCCCTGCTGGAAAAGTCATATTTTATTGGTGTTTTTTGAGGGGTTTTAATCTTTTTATTGCTTTTTATATGGTTTTTGTTATATATCTGTTATATATCTGTTTACTTTACTTATTGTGAGCTACCCAGACTAGAGCATTGCACTAATGGAGTGGTGTATATATATATATATATATATATATATATATATATATATATATATATATATATATATATATATATATATATATATATATATATATATATATATATATATATATATATATATATATATATATATATATATATATATATATATATATATATATATATATATATATATATATATATATATATATATATATATATATATATATATATATATATATATATATATATATATATATATATATATATATATATATATATATACTACCCATTAGTGGCTATATACCCATTAGTGTATACTCATATATAGTTATATATATAGTTATACCCATATATATATATGCCCATATATGAGTATACACGAATGGGTATATACCCACTTATGGGCAGTATATATATACCACCCTGTTAGTGCAATGCTCTAGTCTGGGTAGCTCACAATAAGTAAAGTAAACAGATATATAACAAAAACCATACAAGAAGCAATAAAAGACTAAAACCCCTCAGAGACACCTATGAGATATATAACAAAAACCATATAAGAAGCAATAAAAAGACTAAAACCCCTCAGAGACACCTATATATATATATGGGTATAACTATATGAGTGGGGTGGTGTATTGCTGATAGCAATAGATGCTAAGCATGATCCTTCTATGGCTTCTAGATTGCGACCATAATTTCATACAAACAAGCAATTGCTGAGTGATGAACACACATATATGACTTTCTCCCTAGTTGCTGTTTGAAAAGAAGCTAAAATAAATGCCAATTTCAAATCAGTCTTAATTAAAGAACGGGCACTTCCATAATACTTAACCCCTGACATTAAATGCTTAGAGCTGGATTCTACCACAGAAACTTTTGGAAAACAGTGGCTTTCTTTGAGATGATCCAGGACTTCAGAGTTTATGGTCTAACCTGCAATCCAAAACAGACAGGGGTGGAGAAAGCATGGCTTGACAGATGGTGCTGGAGTGCATCTCTGAGCAGTCTTCACCACAGGTTAACTGGCTAGGGCTGATGGGAGCTGCAGGTCAGCAACCATCTGGAGGGGTGCACTTTGCCCTTCCTTGCTCTAATGAAATCCAGATATGGAGGCAAGCAAGCAGAAATCACAAGATTTCACAATTGGAGCACTATGTTTAGGATCAACTTGAAAGCCCAAGTACTTTTTTGCTCCATGGCTTCATTTGGCTCATATATGTAAACATATGTTACGTGAACATTTATATTGTTACCTTTTCAGGAACAACACTCTTGCCATCCCATGCATAACCTCTCTTTGTGAAGTAGTTCACTGTTGCAAATTCAATCAGTGCCGAGAAAACAAATGCATAACATACAGCTATGAACCAGTCCATAGCAGTGGCATAGGCCACCTTTGGAAGAGAATTTCTTGCACTGATGCTCAAGGTGGTCATGGTAAGCACAGTTGTCACCCCTATAAAGCAAAGAGAAAGACCAAATTGATGATTCAGGATCCAAATGGCTTATAAATGCCCAGTGGTGTATATTTAAGGTGGCTGATTCAAAGTTCTTTAAAGGGCGTGAAAATAGCATTGGATGCCTATAATCCTAGCTAGTGATCAGCAAGCAGCAATGGACTTTTTAAAACGTTATTCTAGTGTTGAACCATATGCTGGTCAACTATGGTTGTGCTGCTTAATCCACTTGATCTTGTGCATGTTTACTCAAAAAGAAATGCCAGTGTGTTCAATGGTGAATACTAGATACAACTTCACATAGAATGGAAGCCTGGGATCTCAGAGTATGCCCCCTGATGCATGACAGTCCTTCTGTGCCAATTTTTTTTCCTATCCTCTGATATAGATAACAGGAGGTAAAACTAAAACTGCAGCTAAACGAAAATGGGACATAGTTGCTGTTGCAGTTGCTGTGCAGAGTGTGCTAGCTCCTCTGAGGTAATAGATCATGTGTCATTGAACTGGCAAACTGGCAAATATTTAATTGATTACTATGGGGGAGGTAATATTTTGATTTTCTGCATCAGGCATCAATGTATCTTAAGTGACCAAGTTATATATTACAAATAACTCAGCATTAGAAACTTTGATGTTAGTGGGAAGTATTAGTAGCAGTCTTGTAGTGCAGTGGTTAAAGTGCAGTACTGTGGTGAAGACTCTGCTCACAATCTGAGTTGGATCCCAGTGGGTTCAGGTAGCTAGCTCAAGCTTGACTTCCATACATCTGAGGTGGGAAAATTGAGTACCCCGCTTGCTTGAGGGGGGCAATGAGTAGTCTACATAATTAAAAATTGTAAACCACCCAGAGAGTGCTTTAAGTGCTATTGGGCCGTATGTAAGCAGTACGCTTTACTTTGCTTTTTGGTTTAATATGCCAGTAATGTGATACAGGCAGACCTACATGGCAGAGTAATTATATTTGTAAATGAAGTCTGTGCTCACTTCTAGTTGACCAATCATGACACAGAACAAGTTAATTTATAAGGTGCAGGAGGTGTGAAAAGCACCTTCTGCTACAGGCATTCCCAGCATTCAGGAATTCCCTCTTCTAAAAGTGGACTATCTATAACATGCAATTTGATCTCCTGGCTGAAACCCATCCATGTTGCTATTGAGGGTGAGTGGAAGTTAGTTTGGTTGAGCTGATGTAATAATCATAACATGAAATGGAGGGATCTCTTCACTTCCAAATTTCACATCACATTCAGCAGCAATATTTCCAAGCTATTTTCTGGAGACGGAAAAAAGTCAGTTGCTAACAATTAAATAACAGAGTGGGCTGGGGAGGTACCACTGCAGTGCCATATTTTGCATTTTGAGCAGCAGTGTTCCTCACACACAATCTTGTTTTTAACTAGTCACCAAGCTTTTACTGAGAGTAAGAGGTCTGAATCTCTCTTCCATTGCTCACTGTAGCATTAAATCACATACTCACCAGTTACCTTGACAACTGCAGACATCTCATGTATTAAATCTCTGCTACAGTATATTTCCACTGTGTTGAGTGTTAACCAAAACATATGACAATCAGAAGAAATATCTTGCACCATCCATATTCAGATGCATTATTTATTGTTCCAGAGTGGAAATAATCTGACCATTCAGTTTTCAGCCATTCCTGTGCTTTTCAATTTGTGAAAGGGGGGGAGGAATAGCTAGAGAGCTACAATCCTGCCCATAATTTGGCTGTCCAGTTAATCCTGGTGAGTTAAATAATTTTTAACCACCCTCTAGCCATCCACAGAGTTGCACCAGTTATATGAAATATTAAGAGGTTTTCCTTCTCAGACATACACAAATGAAAAAAAAGAAAAGGAAAGGAAAAGGAAAATAGGTGATTTCTTTAAAAGACCAGCTCAGAAATTAGGTTAATGTACTGGTGAATTTACAACCGAGCAATTGTGCTTAGACAGCACATTATAGAATCTTGTGGATGCACAAGCAATATGTTCAGCTGTAAACCTGGGGCACCTTTCTTCCCATCTAACTTAATGCAACAAAACGGTACTGTACAAAAATTGCTCCATGATTTGGCCAAGAGCAGAACAGGTAGGGAATAGAGAAAGGAGTGTTTTACATCTTATGGATTTATCATACATGAGTTAATCTGTAAAAAGAGCAGGAATAGGATCTCTGGGTTCACAATATAAGGAGAGTATTTCAGTTCCGTTCCTGAAAGCCAGTATTGTATCACTGTCACTTAAGCCTATCCGTGAGAGCTCAGCCTCGAGTCTCTGCATTAGAACAACAAACAGCCTAATGAACCACAGAAGCTAATGGGATTTGTGTCCCACAGAGTAGGGCCTTAATGTTTGGTGCTTCAGCTTAACTAAGCGATGGATCAAACGGTTCAAGTCTGACACCACAGCTAGTTAAGTTGTATGCCATTTCACTGTGCTTGCAATTTTCCCTGTTCTTCTCTGCTTTTGCTTCCATATGGAAGCAAAAGCAGAGACAATCCTTTCAGACACATTTAGAGGATCCTTTTAGACACATCAATTCAATATCATGAAAATTATTCAGGGATCTTCAGAACGATGTCACTTAGAAACAGAACCATCCATATTAGTCAAGGGGTGAGGCATGAGTCTGCAATGGGTCAAAGAGCCTGGAATTAAGGCTAACTTGTCAACTGATCTATTTGTTTCCAGAGAGATGGTTAATATGGATTGCTATGAAGCACCTGCCGTCCTGCCTTTCTCTGTTTCTTAGTGTTTCTGAGTGGAAGTTTTTTTTCCTGAGTTTGAGTTCATTATGGAACTCTTAATGAAGTATCAAGCCACAGAAAATACAAATTTGAAAAAAAATATTTTGTCAGTTTCTCAACAGTAAGGCATGGGGACACAAAAAATAAAAAATAAAATGTGAAGCAAACATAGGGCCTGTTTCAGCTCTTATACTCTCCATGTGATTACAATTGTTTGGATGGAAGTCTTGCCCTGCTGATGTATCCTTTGCTGGACCTATCCTCATATTATGCATGCACTGGGGGCTTGTTAGCAGAGGGTTTTGTGAAACTGGTCCAGCTACTAGCTTACATAGGGTATTGTCAGTATGAATGCAAGGGGCACCAAAATGCTGGTATGTTCTAGTCTTCTTCGCAGCTGCCGCATTGTGTAACTGAAAGCTTAGGAGCAGTCTAAATGGTTCTCTTAATAAAAGACACTTACCGAACACAGTTCTTGCTGGAACAGATTCTCTATTGAGCCAAAAGGAGACCTGGGACAGAATCACTGTCATAATGCATGGTAGGTAAGTCTGAATGACAAAATAGCCAATCTTTCTCTTCAAATGGAAGTGAGTTGTCATTACAACATATTCTCCTGAAGATGAGAAAAATAGTAACAATGAAATATCAGTGAAGTTCCCTTGCAAATAACAGACATGTAGGATAAAATGCTGCAAATCCTTTTATATCAGAAACTGTTCAGGAACCATTTTCCTATATGATCTCTGTTTTTGCTACCTCTAGTAAAGAAATTCAAGAAATATTAAGAACTCCAATTTCAGATTTATTTATTTTTTAAAGCAGTAACCTTACATTTAGGAAAAACAGATACGGTGAGGTTGCATGGAAACTGAAAACCCTCACACACACTGTTAAAGACACATGCATGCACACACACACAAGCCTTAAATTTTAAGATTTCATCAGCTGAATCTATCCTGCCAAGAGTTGTTGAGTCATATTCTCTCTTATCCCCATATTCTCTTTGGATGGATTTAGCCAGGAACTCTGGTTATCTTCCTCTCTCCTAGTGTGTGATGTAGTCGTATCAAACAAAACAGTCTCCTCTTGTGGCTTTCTGTCACAGAATCACTGAATTTCAGAGTTGGAAGGGACTTTGAAGAGAACGGTGGCAAAGTGGTCTGTTCTTTGCTCTTGACATACTCTAGAGTGGCTTGGATTGCACAGATTAAGCCATTCCTTCATTGTTTGTCACCACAGCGAAGGCTATTCATCTAGCCTATATAGGACTGGATGAACATAGGACATACATACCCTGTAGTCTATAAATGTAATGCAAATTGTCATGCATCTGCTGTGGTCATAGTACAAGCTGGTAGACTGGGCTCAGTTTGGGAGCCACAGTTATGTAAAACCAGGCACAGAAAGGAATGAGATGGCTGACTTTAAGGAGAGGAGACTTGTTCACATGTCTTTTTGGTCCCTACCTGCTCTATCATTTATAAGCCAGCCATGTGCCTTTTTTCTTTTTTGAAAGGCACTTGATCTTTAAGAATCATCTGTGGCCTTTGATCACAAGTTAATGGTTTCTTGTGACATGGCATTTTCCAGAAATTAAACAAGCATCTCATTTTTAGTGTCATCATTTGAGACTATTAGTTGAAATTTTAATATCTTGAGAATATCACATTCCTCAAGGCTCTAATAATGAAGCATTGCAGTCGGCAGTGACAGAACTGAAACAAAATAAATGTCATCAGAAAAAAAAAAGAAATGAACAGGTTTGAAATCAAATGAAAACCTCTGCCAGAATAACAGCTGACATATAAAACGGCTTCTGTCCCTTTACAAAAAAAAAATCATCTCAACCCAGCTGCAGACAGCAAAATAAAAAATAAAAAATGGCAGTCTTGGGTGATGATTCTGTTTATCCCATCCTGGATCATGCCCTGGACAGTCCTCTGCATTCAGTCATGTGAAACTGCCTAATACCCCACCCCCAACTTCCATTCAAGTCAATTTGTTTTGTTTGACAGGATTTTTTTCACACACTTCACATTGACATAAATGGAAATGGCAGAAGACCAGCAAATCCTGACATATTCCCCTAGTGTTTCCCCCATAGCAGCTTTAAGAATTTAACACAGAGTGTCCTCCTTCCTGCTGTTCTTCAATGGTGACATTTCATTTCTTGGGTTAGTCCTACAGCTTGCCCAAATACAATTCAGGACGATCACAAAAATACTGTTCTTTCCATTGGGCCAATTAGTTCCTTTCATTTCTTTTTCACTTCCTTTGGATGTTAAAATATTTATTTACAATATTTTTATTTACAATATTTTTAGCCGCACCATTGCCAGTGGCTTCTATAAATATATAAAATAACAGAATAAATCACTGATATACTTTGGTTTCTGACTTATAAAACATTGCTCCCCTAACATATAAGTTTAAAAGATGTACATGCATGAGGCACATATATGCACAGTCTATTTCAGTTAGAAATGGGCACAAATCAGAAAAGAACTGTGATTTGTTTTGATTTGTGATTTGTCAAGATGATGAATGTATGAATTTACAATTTTTTTCCTGATGAATCGATGAATTGATTCATCAAACCCACATAAAATGCCTGCCAGCACCTGGAGAAACCAAATTCGCAAAACCTTCACCCAAATTGGTGAAGACTGGGTTTCAGACAGAGTGGGTCACCCCAGGAAAATGGCCTTTAGCAGCTGGCTTGGGAAACTTAATCATCACCAGACTTGGAGGTACTTTAGAGGAGAGTCATGGGAAGCTTCTCTGAGATTTTGGTGTCTCTAGGTGCCTGTGGGGAACTTTCCTGTGGGACCCCTTTTGCAGGTATATAACTCAGACATCTCTAGGTGCCTTGGAGGCCATTTTATATCCAAACAAATTGACAAATCAAAAATTATTTTTTAAAATCATTGATTTCTATTCATTGGGGGCATTGATTGGTACGAATATGACTCAAATTATCAATTTTGGAATGAATTTGGTGGTTCCTTTTTTAAAATTAATGCCCAGCTCTAATTTCAATATTTCAAATACAAACTCAGCAGAGCTCTTCCCTGCTCTATTCCTGGCATCTCCTAACGGGGATGATTGCTATAAGTAAGCCTTATACATACAAGACACATGCATTCAATAATCTGAGTAAGGCATTTTTTAAAAACCCTGTGTTCTCTGCATATAAGGGGGTGGGGTCTGCGTTAGCCCTGCCTCCTCAAACACTGCTTTCAACACATGACAGGGATTATCTGAAGAGGGAAGGCTGTTTGATCTATGTAAATTCCTCTTTTCAGCTACACCATGAATAAACTGGGTAGCTGGCTTCTGTGGAGGATCTATATGGGTAGAGATAGGAGAATATTATCACCTCCCACTGTTCAGACTGTGTCACAGCATGAGGGAGAGGATGAGACTACTACACTTATCTCACCATATGTGAAAAGCAGTTTGAAAATGTTTGAGCGAGCTGAGTGCATGATGTTGTCCCAGGATTTATCCCAGATTATATGTATGTTTGCATGTTTGCAGATGAATAAGGAGAGAGAGATGGGGGAGAGAGGGAGGGAGGGGCAGAGTGATGCCATTTTCTTTCTACCAGATATGTTTTCTCTTACTCTTTTACTGGTTCTGTTCTCTTAACAGATTTCGATTTACTTCTGATGAGGGCTTCGCCAGCCCTTCACAATGATCCAGTTCTCTGTTTCTTCAAAATTTAGTTCTCTTACATTGTTCCTTCTTTAATATGAGTGCTTTTCCTGTTAACTTTCTGTTTTTACTCTTTTGTTTTGTTCTTTACCATTTTGTGCAAACAACTTGTGCAGAACTTGGCACTAATCATAAATAACAGTGATTAATGGCTTTTAAGCCATTATGTTAATTTTGTTTTGATATCTTTGCAAATTGGAATTCTCTTTTTTTTTCTGCCTGAGCTGCCTCATTTCTGACAGCACTGACAAAATGCTGCAAATAGTGACTTGAATGTTAACTATGTTCTTTCCATTAAGATTATACTTCTGTTTGGAAAGCAAGTAGGCGGACCATTAAAAGATCCCTCATAAGTAACTTCTTTGGATGGAAATAGCAGTTCGCTTATAGACTCCTGAAGATGGAGGCAACTGCATAAGGTGTTATGTCTTAAAGAGTTGCCACTCTCTTACAAGCTTATTGAGTTCATTACTGACAAACAAGCAATATGAACTGGGGAAAATATATTACCTTGGTTTGGCCCACAGACTGAAGCCATAAAATATATTAGCTATTTTTCCTGATGGGGTGATTTGTTTTGCTTTATTGATTATTCAGTCCAGACAGCAGTATGAGATCTTATTCATGCCTCCCTCACATCATTTCTTCCTGGTTCATTTTCCCAGATGTGTGCAAAATAAACTTATATGATTGCTTTAATTACCCAGGGCTAAATCATATTATTAGTTCCAACTAGCATAAAACCATCAAATGAATAGTTTTTATCAACACTTGTGTAAGCCCTGTGGATTAAAGGGGTATACACTGGGTAAGACAAACTATTAGATTTAGATCCTAGTGTTTAAACGGCAGGTTACAGATAGCCATACAACTTTGCACTGAGTTCTGTTCCTATAGCTGAGTGCCATCGGTTGTGTGGGTTTGTTTTAGACCTTGCTCTTTAGGCAGGCTGTCCCTCCTGTCATCACTTGAATTTTTTTCTTTTTCCCCATCTTGAACTATATACCTATTGTTTTTTTTATCATATTGTTTTTATTCCATTTTTTACTGTTAGCCACCCAGAGTAGACTTTGGTCTAGGTGGACAGGGTATTAACAAATAAATAAATAAATAAAATAAAAATTTGTTTTCTAAGAAGACTGCAAATAAGGTGCAGCACATGGAATATTTAGAATCCTCGGTCATCAAAGTGCAAACTGGTTGGGTTTGTACACATGTACACATCATAGCCCAAGGATGAGCTTTAAAAACACACACACCTCTATTTGATCCCATTCCTTCATGAGACACAGGAGTCATATTAATGAACCTCATGGTGCAGCGGTTAAACTGCTGTACTGCAGCCAAAAAAAACAAACACAACTGCTCAAAAAACGGGGTTCAATCCCAGGTAGCCGGCTGAAGGTTGACTCAGCCTCCCATCCTTCTGAGGTCAGTAAAATGAGTACCCAGCTGGGGGGGGCAATGTGTAGCCTGCATAATTAACTTGTAAACCATTCACAGAGTGCTTGAAGCACTATCGGGTGGTATATAAGCAGCACACTTTGCCTTTTTTTTTTTTTGCTTTAATGAACAGTGCTGTGAGTCGAAGACATGATCTAGTACCAAATTGTGTGTGCTAGTTGAATCCCTGCTTAAGATGTAAAATACTTGCTTGTGTTGTGTGCCAGAGGAAGAAACTGCAACATTTTCCTCCTCATTAGCAATAATGGCAAGAAATCTCTGATTCCTAGCAATCCTAATATTCTCTCATTTGTGAGAGAACTGTGTAAAAACTTACTCTCTCTCTTTTTTTTTTCAATTGCCTTTCTCTTTTTTGCACAAAAGCATGCTTGTTGTGCCTGTGAGAATTGCCCCAAATGGGTATGGCTGAAGCTTTAGCTTTAAAGCACTGAATGGGCTATTTGCATCTTTCATTAAAAATCAGTCAAAAGGATAAAAACTGTAAGCTGTATCTAGATCTGCAACCATTCGTTTGAGGACTTTTGGCATAAAGGGAAAAATCATTAAAGATGAAACTCTCTTCTAGCATCATCTGCATGCAAATAAAAATGTTCTGGATATCTCTGGGGCCATTGTCTGGGGCAACTTTTGAAGCTCTGACATTTCCTTCTTTTGATAATCCACCTGAACCTAGCCTATTCTAGAAGAATTTATTTATGATTTTAATTTATGCATTTATAGCCCACCTTTTTCAGGAAGTGAGACTCAAAACAGCTTCAAAGTGGCCCTCTTCTATGTAATCTCAATGGGAATTCAAAACATTGTGCATACTCAGAGTGAGAGCAAGGTAATCCCCAGATCCTCCATGGCCCATTGTGCTGCCATTACAAAGCTATATCTGATTTGCTAAGTATGATCTTTATTTCCTAAAGAAGAAACTGAATATCAAAACAGATGTGGCTAATTACAGTGGTGCCTCGCAAGACAATGTTAATTCATTTCGTGAAAATTGCTGTCTTGCAAAAACATTGTCTTGCAAAAACATTGTCTTGCGAAATGCGGTTCCCCATTGGAATGCATTGAAATCTATTTAATGTGTTCCAATGGGGAAAAATCGTTGTCTTATGAAAATCACCCATAGGAAAACCATTTTGTGAATCTGTCAAAATCGCTGTCTTGCAAAAAAACATCCCTTAAAAAACTGTTTTGCGAGGTGCGGACCCAGCTGTCAAAATCGTCGTCTTGCAAAAAACTGTCCTGAAAAAAAAAGTCTTGCGAAGCACGGACCAAAACCATTTTGCAAAGTGCTATACAATCGCAAAAACCCATCGTCTTGTGAATTAACCATTTTGCGAGGTAATCGTCTAGTGAGGCACCATTGTATGCTTAAACATTAAACTGGCCCAATCATCTATATGGAAAGAGGAGATGAGATCCTCTTTGGGCTTGAGAAGAGTGGACCCTTCCACATCTGCAAAGTTCTTCCCCACAAGCCATCTCCCATCTCCCAAACATGTAAAGCACACAAGGCAGTACAGAAGAGCAAAAGTAAATAAACACGACAATTAAAAACAAAAACATGACAGCTAAAAGACAAAAGCAACATAGTGAAGAACAGCACATAAAAATGATAATGCCTCCTAGAACAAAGATGCTTTCAGCTAGCATTGCTTAGCTGGGGGCCAAGGGAGCTTTCTCCCATGAAAGTGAGCTCCACACCATGGGCACCAAAACAGAAGGCACTTCACATGTTCTCATTAAATCAGTGGTTCCTAAATTTGAGGCTCCAGGTGTTCTCAGACTACAAGTCCCAAAAGCCCTAGGTAGCACAGTCAGTGGTCAAGGTTTTTGGGGAATTGTGGTCCAAGAACATCTGGAGCCCAAACTGGGGAACCACTGATTTAGTAGGAATGTGTGAAAGTGCCTTCTATTTTGGTTCAAGAACTTCTGTACTAATTACATCACACATGAAAATAAAACATGCAAGGAAATCTCAGGATTCACAAGGAACAATAAAGAACAGAGGTCCTGTTCCCACTTAGCGCAACTGAAAATACTGGATCGGGTTATTAGGACTCTGCGCTTAGGGGATTCAGAGTGTCTTATCTAACATTGTCTGTATGAGATTCTCCATGTATCATTGTCATTGGGGACACCGTGTTTAGAGTTCCAGCCATTGTCTAAGGTTACTGCTGCTTACAGGTTTTGTTGGCTTCATTGTAATAATATTTTAACATAATTTATTATTCTTTGCCTCAGCAACAAAGACTTTCAGTGATATTGCCCGTACTGTTGGAACTCCTATTGTAAAGAAGCTAGTAGATAATTTTAAGAAATGGGAAAATATCATGTTCTTCTGATGAGTATATGCAGATTTATCTGCTGCCCAGATGTGTTCTGAAATTTCAGTAGAAGTTTTGAGGGCATTAGAAAGTATAGAATATTGTTATAGAATTCACTCACTTTTGTGAGGGCTGTTTTACTAATTTTTTAAAAAAAAATCAGTTTGATTGATTTTATCTTTTCTGAGTTGATCTGACCTTTTGAAGCTGAGATGTATTCATTCTGAAACTGAAATAAAATTTGTTTCATCCATTCAAAAAGATTGTAGTCATCACCTACCTGTACTGGACTGCACAATTCCAGAATCCACCGTTTGTCCCATGAGATCATATTGATTCAGTCGAGAGCCATCTTCAGCTACTACGACAGATAATGCAGGCTCCTTTGTCCATTCATATACTACTTCTGATTTTGTATAAGCATCTAATTAGAGGAAAAGAAGTCATTTCTAAAGGTGATTTTAAAAATAAAGCAATGACCATTCCAGTTTTGATCTCATCGCTAGGTTTCCAGACCTATCATTCCTTCCAACTATTTTCATTTTTCAGCAACAAGAATGCAGTGACAGAATAAAATGACAGAATGGCATATGTCGATGTAAATATCTTTTTTTCCCCAGTAAACTTTCACTTTTAAATGAAGCTCTCTGAGGCACATTTTAAAAGAACTTTCCAATTTTAGGGCAACACCTCTGTATCCCATAAAATCATTTTTTTTAAAAAAAAATATATATTAACAATTTTTACTAGTCCTTTATTCAGGTGGAGAGGACTCCAAAGAATGGCTCTTCTCCTCCAGGAAACAGTGGAGACTTGAACTCCCAACAGCTGGTTCCCAACATTCAGGTGGTCCAAGATAGCTCAGTGGACTGGGTACCTCCCTGCAAAGCCAGAAGCTCAGAGTCTGATTCTCCACAGTGCCTCCCAGGAAAGGAGCCAACCTCTGTAGCTTTGGGCAAGCTGCACAGTCCTAGCAAAAAGGAACAGCAATTCACTTCTAAGTACTCTTTACCTAAAAGGGCCTGAAAGGGGTTGCCATAAATCAGAGAAATGGTCATTAACAGGATAACTTGTATCCTGTTAATTATTTAAATAATTGTGCTGATAACCTAATATACCAATATTGTCACAGGTAGAGGATTCACCTGCAGTGAAAAAAAATGTCAGCATTATAACCAGGACATACTCCTGGATGCCTTCATTTTCTAATGGCAGATTATTGGAGCTCTACTCACTTCTAAACAGTTTTCCAAAGAGAATTGAATATGTATGTGTAGAATAAAGTACAAACAAAGGCTCGTGTTCAAGCGAACAGCTGACAGAAGGCCTACTGCATCTTAGAACTACAGCAACTCTCCATCGTGCCTCAGATGAGAAACCAGTTTGTTGGGAGGGCAACTGATGGAAAGAGTTTCTCTTGATGGTCTCTCCAATTCCACAGGTTCTGCCTGTGCCCACCTTGCATAAATATTTTCAACACATTCATGCAGAGTTATGAGAGGCACTGGCAAGGAGTTGTGTTTATCAAGGTTTTTTGTTTTGTTTTTTTGCAACATCAGTATGGGAACCCTTTGTGAAACAAATGCTGATATCTGCTGATCACTACATAGATGTACTGAACTGACTTCTCTAATTATATTCACTCAGCCTTTTTTTTTTATACTGCGGCTTTAAAACTCATTCTTAATTCCTGTTTTCATTTATGAACTAGCAAATGGGAAGCATTCCAGTGAAGGTCTATCCAAAACACGTAAGAGGCACAGAAGCACATCCTTCAGTTTCAACAGCACTTGTGTGGAAAGATCTCCCAAAATTCTGCATCTATTTTCAGTTTCGGAAATAAAATTTTAAAAATCCAAAGTCCTCTCAATTAGATCTTTCAAAACACCCTCTTCATTCCTGAAAAATTGTCTGAAAACTTGTAAACAGAAATGAATGGCAAATTCAGAAACAAAACAAAAGCTGGAAGTCATTTCACTCATTCTGTACGTATTACTGAAGCTTCTTTTTCCTTGATCAAATGGAACTGCAGTCAACCAGAAATGGGAAATCTCTGTATACTGGGCTATCACATTGTTTGTTCTCCACATGTTTGGAGTGGAGCCATTCCCCTCTTTGGTAAATGCCTGTGCCAGATATTGGATTAGATTTATTCATGTAGAAAATCTTCATTTAAAAAAAATCTACTGAAATTGAACAATGTGTGGTCTCATATACTCCTCAGGTCTTAACCATCTTAGCTGGTAGGAAGGAGAAGGGGAAAATGATTGTTAAAGTCAACTTACAGCTTCCAAATTTCAACGGACAAGCATGTGCATCCATGGGAAAGTCTTCTAAATGCATTGGACATTCTGCCCTCACTGTGAGTCTGGCAGCAAGCAAGGGAGGGGGCGGATTATGAACAAGAGAGCAGAGTTAGAGCAAAAAGTGGCTATAACAACAAATATAATAAAAAGCAGGCATTCTATTATAATTTGGGTAATGTACTATATCAAATTATCATTTGCACAAGCTTACTGAAAAATACTCCTCCTTAAAAGCCCATTTTTCAATTTCTAACTCCCTCTTCTAAGATTATTTTGCAAGTATCTTTATCAACAGCAGGGATATTCTGCATTAAGCATTTTCCCCTGATTTTCGTAATTTTAAATTCGTTCTGTAACAATTGCACTGAGGTGTTCAGGTTCTGGACTAGACTGACAGAAGGAAAATAAGGCGATAAACCATTTAACAAAACTCAGGAGGCAGTGATTTTCATATTTTCATTTATTTTTCCTGTACTGGCTTGCCTGAACCCACACAGTCCAGACCATGCTTCAACAGGACTGCTCAAAGGCAAAAAAAGCTGCAATGTGTAATTACAGACATCAGCAACAGAGGCTGAATACATGGGCATGGGATCAGAATATTATAAAGCTTTTAAATCAATATTGATCCCAAAGTGAAAAAATACTTTATAATAGGATTTTGGAAGGAGAGAAAATACCAGACTTTTGGAAACATTCATTAATAACTCTTATCCCAAAACCCAATCAAGATTTAATAGACCCAGCTTCGTATAGACCTATTTCATTATTAAACCAAGATGCAAAGATATTTACTGCAATACTGGCAAATAGAATGAGTAAGTTTATGACAAAATATATTCAAGAGGATCCAAATGGTTTTTTAAAGGGAAGACAAATGAAAAATTTAACTAGGATGGTTTTGAATATTATATATAATATAGAGAAAGATAAATAAAATACAGGTATTTTATCATTAGATATCTTTAAGGCATTTGAGGCATTTGATTGTGTATAATGGTGAACATTAAAGATTCTTTTAAAGGGTTGGGGTTTTGGAAAGAAATTTAGGAGGATAATAAACCAATTATATATGGAGAATACTTCTGCAGTAATAATTGATGATGGGATATGATAACATATAGCTCAAGGCTGAGTCACCAGACAAGATTGCCCTCTTTCTCCAATTCTGTCTTGTTTGATTACTGAAATGCTAGCAAATGTAATAAGGAATGATGATTTAATTGAAAGTATGGGTCAAAATAATACAATAAAGATTAATTTATTTGCTGATGATTCCCTATTGACAGTAAAAAACCCATTGGAAAGTATAGATAGAATTAAAATTCATTTGGAAAAATTTTGAAAAATAATTGGATTATGCGTAAATTGGCAAAAATCTGAAATAATGTTGTTTAATCATAATAAATTAGGTTTGCTAATAAATACGATTTTACGACATGTAAATTAGTTAAATATTTAGGTAGCGATTTAGTAAAAGATAGTCAAAATGAAGGAATATAATTATAATAAATTAAAAGAAGAAATTAAAAAGAAATTACAGGAATATACTAATTTAAAACTTTCTTGGTTTGGAAGGATTGCACTGATAAAAATGAAAATTTTACCAAAAATTAATTTTTTATTTAGAATG